GATGGTGTGATTGGGCAATTGACATTTTAAGGTCTAATTGTCGAAATATATTTGCATTTCATTGTTAATGGCCTGTTTTTTTTATTTTTTTACGGAATTTGGTTCAGATGAAATGTGTTTGTCATCCGTGTGTTAAACAACAAAGAAAACGACCACAAACTATGGAAGATTTCGCCGATGTTTGTGTTTTGGCTTAAATCGGACCAATGCGAGTATGAGTAGTGAGTCATCACGGGGAAAATATAAAAAAAAGATTTTGTTGTGTGATTGAGTTATTTTGGATTTTTTTGCCGTGCTACGCATGAGCTGTAGCATCCATCCGTGGGCTTTGGTCTCAACAGGAAATGCGCTTTTATTTTTAGCTCGTTTTCCAAATTGTTAAAACTTATGGCGGAACTGTTTTACAATGCCATGGCGAAAATGAGAAAGTTTTGAAAAATAATAATAATAATAATAACAACAATAAAAATGTAACAAAACAAAATAAATGAAAAAAAGAGGGTCAAACAAACAATTCAAGGAAGTGCCGATGATGGTGGTTGGACTTGTAATATGAAATGTAATTTTTTTTGTTGAAAAAATTGATGATTATTTTTCATTGTTAAGGGCTTTATTGTTGTGGTTTAGGAAACTATGAATAGTCAGAAAATACATGAACCTAACCAGGTTATTAGCTCTTTGTTCTAAAAATAAAAATAAAACATGGGCGGAAATTACCGTGACCTGTACTATTTTTTAAAGAATTAATTTTAATTAACAAACTTTTTATAATATGGGGCTTACAAATAAATGTATGGACAATCAAGTTCATTGAGCGGATCGACCACTCCCACTAGTTCCTTGGTTTTAAATTCAAAATTGTAGTCAACAACCAATAAATAAGTTAAAACAAGTAAAAAAGCAGCTAAGTTCGACCGGGCCGAACTATTAATACCCCCTTCACCATTTCGAAAGATCTTGAAGAATTTAAAAAAACCGTCGAAAAATACCACTTAAATGAAAATCGTTATTTGGGGCTACACGAAATCGTAGACCTGAATAAGCAATTTTTTGTCATAGGCTGTAGTACAGATTCCGAAATTAAATATGAAATTTGCCACAATTCCGTTGAATAAAGTCGTTAATATCATCAAAATACCAAATAAAGTTATGTGTGGGCTATATGAAGATGTGGACCTGCATAGACAATTTTCCATCATAGGTTGTAATACTCATTACGGGCTTCAAACTCTAAATACGAAATTTGAAGAATTCCAGTCAAAAATCATTAAAATGCCGAATATCAGGAGATACCCTAATATAGGGGTTTACGATATCGTAGACCTATATAAACAATTCTCTTCCAGGTGGTAAAATGCTCTCGAAGGAACTCCTAGTGTGGATTTTGAGACAATTCCGTTGAAAATGTAGCTAAAATCGTGAAAATACCAAATATTGGGAGGGACCGCTATATAGGGGATATACGATATCTTGGGCCTAAATATACAATTTTCTTCCAGGAGGTAAATTATTCAGAAGGAACTCCTCGTGTGGATTTTGAAACAAATCCATTGGAAAATGTGGCTAAAACCATGAAAATATCGAACATTAGGAGGTACCGTTGTTGGGTGATATGCCACTCAGTTAGACATTGAGGTGTAATCGATAATCTGGTTCCACATTGTTGTCTTTTGCCAAAATCGATTGTCAGGAAATCGAAGTCGAAAATACTACTATATTTTTATAGCTTCAGCCATTCAGAGGCTACAGAGGGTATATATTACTTGACATAGCCAAAACATGCCTCATCGAAATAACAATTTTAGACACTTGGTCTCTTTGGACCAAATCCGTTCCAGGACATTTGGATTCGATCTAGCGATGTCCGTCCGCCCGTCCGTCCGTCTGTGTGGCTGGTGAGCCCGATAACTCTCGAAGGGAGTATACGATTTGATAAAAACTTATTACATCGTAATATTATTGTCAAACTTAGATCGAGTTCGGAGATGGGCAATATCGGTCCACACCTCCTAGTATCACAAAATTTCAACATTTTCAATGAAAATAATTTACTGCACAGAAAGAGGAAGGACAATCCGATTTTGCTCCAGCTTTGCAAATCATAATATTTGCACCAGTGTTAGGTCAGGTGCGAAAATGGACAATATCGGTTCACTCCATCCAGTACTTCCCCCACAAAGGTTCAAAATTTGGAATAATTATAACTCTTGTAAAATGTGATGTAAGTGTCCGATTATCTTGAAATCACACACATCACAATATTTTTATCAACCCAAGAGATGCTGTGAAGATGGGATACATCTGTCCACTCGTTCTGATACCTCCCCCACCAAGGGCAAAATTTTCCATTCGGAATATTGAGATGTGCCAAGTCCGATTCCATTCAGACTTGGCACATCTCAATATTTGTATCAATGCAAACTCTGTTATAAAGATGGTAGAGATCGGACCATTTCTTCCGGTACCTTCCCCACATAGGGTTCAAGATTTTGAGAAACAAAACGCTCAAAGAAAGCAAAAGCATCCAACTCCCTACAAATTTCACACATGCAAACATTTTTGTTAACAAAATATCTGTTGAGAACCCCTTCTGGTACCTCACCCACAAAGGGTAACAATTTTCAATACTGTTATCTTTCTTAACTTGCGAAACAAACAAACTTGCTATGTCTAAATATTATTCTTAACCAGAAATCTGATATGAAGATGTAATTTATCGGAATTTATGATTTCGTATAAAAATGGATAATATCCTCGATTTCCTTTAAATTTTGCACATACCAATATTTTTATCTGTATTAGATGAAGTGGAATATTTCGGATCGCTATTTAATTAGCACATACTTTATATAATTTATAGAAAGTAGACGATATAGCCCAAATATGGCACGTTGTCGTACTTATATCAGACTTAGGTCAGATACGAATTAGACAATCGAGTATTGGCCAACCTCCCCCATAAAGGGTCAACAGTAGTTAAACATAACTCAAGGCTGGGGGTGTACATCTGTCGCCAAAACCGACTGATATTATTTAACTTGTTTTAATTAAAAGCCGCTTTGCGGATTCTGAGTTTGCCGCATAGAAACTTCGAGTAAAAATTTAGGGGATCGCGCCAAGATCCTCCATTACTCATTACTTCGTAATTACCATAATTTTTGGTACATAAGTAAGGAGTTGGTTGTCTTACTTTAGATGATTTATGGCTTTTGAAAGTAAATCAAAAATAGATGAATACCACTTTCCAATCCACATTTGGGCGCCATATGAGCGTAATATCGTCTTACAAGGTAAGGTGAATAGACTACCTTTTACATTACCAGAAATTTGAAAAAGGATGAGTTTTTAATTGAAAAAAATAAAGGAACTAGTAAAGGAGTGTTAAAAATATGAGCTTTGTCTTCTATCGAAGTTCATGGTAAAAAATGTAAGAGGTTTTGACCAGGAAAGTCGAATTGTGAGTCATCTGTTGGAATAGAAATTCCAATATCTATACCATTTACCCTCTATTCTAAAATTCTAAAATTATTATGTTTATTTTCAAGCTCTCTGATAATAGTAGCAATAATTGAAAAAATACCTTTCTTGCGGTCGTCCAATTGAATCGGTTCATTCCCCTCGGGGCATTTCTTTGAACGCTCTAAAAATAGACATCTTCCTTATGGGATTTCATGGCACAATCGCTGTGTGGTAATTCCCATTGATGCAGTATCATCGGCATTGACGTCTTTGGTATTTTATGACTATACAACAGTGGAACCTGCATTTTGGAGAATTCATAAATTCAAAAAAAAAAGAGATCTGTATATTTGATTGAGAATGAATTCCTAGAATTGATAAAGAACTGTAAATACATTTTATTTTGAATACGATAAATGGAATCTCCATATTGCCAGGTTCCACTGTTTTTGCTCTGAAGATGCTAACTCCGATGGGCAACTTCAGCAGCAGCATTCACTTCAGTGGTGCCGTTACTACTGCCTTATAACTTGGAAATTTCCTACAATTAGAAAAACCCCTCACGGTAAATGGAATCGCCAGGTTCCACTGTGTTTTGCTCTGAAGATGCTAAACCCGATGGGCAACTTCAGCAACAATAATCACTTCAATGGTGCCGCTTGGAAATTCCCAGCAATTAGAAAAACCCCCCACCAATTAAGATAATTGGGATTCTACTATTTGGCCCAGCCAATGAGGAATCGCGAGAAAGAGAGTGAGAAACTGGGAATTATATTTTAACAGGTTCTTATCATTTCATAATTCTAGGAAGACATCAAAAAAAATTCAGTCTTGATTGATTGGTTTGGCAATTCCGCAAAATTTGATGGCAATGAAGGTCGGTCGGTTGTTGGCTGGGTAAGAGGCTTAGAAGTGGTTGTGACAACAACAAGACCACCTGTCGTCGTGTCTAATCCCCACCAACCTGCAAGTGAGCAGCCCCATCGTAAAACCGTTGCTATCAAAACTATGGGGCCAATTCAAATCACGTTTGTTGTTTTTCTTGTTGTTGTCATATATCTGTCATTCTCTGCCAGTCATATGTGGCTGTCTTTCTGTCCGTCCCTCTAGCTATGACTGGGGATTTGTTTTGGTTTTTTTTAATTTCAAATCAAGCCACAAAATTGAATTGGTTATTAGGGTTTATTCACTCCAACCATGGCTTAGCTTGGCTTGTCTTGGCTATGAAATGCATTTCAAACGTGTCTGAAGCCCACAACCACGAAGCGGATAAATTTACTATCACGTCGCCGAATCTAAACACCAACAGCAAGGTCATTAACGTTTTGGTTTTTTGACTTTTGGTTATTTTATTACAAAAAAAAATTGATAATTCAATTCATAATTTTTTGGGCAATAAAACCATTTGACCAAGAAGTTCGGGATTTCATAATATTTTGCTTTGCCAATAAAGTCACATCTGGGGAATCATTCGGAAACAAATAAACAATTTTTGGAATTTAAAATTCTAAATTCTTTCACCTCCTTATTTCCTCTTTCAGCAATGAGAACTTTTAGTTGCATACTCCTCCTAACAGCCCTGGCTGCCCAAGGCTGGGCTGAAAATCTCTGCCTTATTGATGCCAATGCCGCCGACATACCCAAAACCATACGCTCCGATCTCTACAGAGGTCAACAGGAATTCACCCTAAATATGTTGGAGGCCATTCAAAAGGCCACACCCAACGAGAATATTTTCTTCTCACCCTACAGTACCTTCCATGCCCTGCTCTTGGCCTATTTTGGTGCCGATGGCAAAACCGAGGAAGAATTAGTGCAGGGTCTGCGTCTGCAATGGGCCAAGAACAAGAAACATGTCAACAACGGCTATCGCCTGGAGAAACAGATGCGTTACAGCCGCACCAAGAAAATGCCTTTGGAATTCAGTGCCGCTGATCGCATTTACTTCGACAAGTCCATTAATTTGGCTGCCTGCATGCAGGAGAACTTCCAAGATGAACTGGAATCGTTGGACTTTAGGAACAAGGCCGAAGAGGGACGCATGGAAATCAACAACTGGATTGCCAATCTCACCCGTAACGAAATCCCCGAAATGTTGAATCCTGGCGATGTCACCTCTGATAGTCAAATGGTTTTGGCCAATGCTGCCTACTTCAAGGGACAATGGTCGGATCAATTTGATGCCAAGGACACCAAACAGGAAATCTTCTACACGACGCCCAGCCAATATCAGTTCGTGCCAATGATGCATAAACGCGGTGTCTTCAACATGGCTGTGGATGAGAATTTAGGTGCCTATGTCCTGCAAATGCCCTATTTGACATCCCATGATGAGGAAAAAGAATCGGAAATCTCAATGGTCATTGTATTGCCACCCTTCGTTGAGGGTGCACTCGAAAAGGTCTTGTCCAAATTGAAACCCGATTCGCTGGAAAATGCCCTGAAAATGGCCTCACCCAAGGAAATTGATATCTCGCTGCCGAAGTTTGAATTTGAACAGAATTTGGAATTGGTGCCGGTAAGTTCGAATCAATATCAAATCAAAAAAAAATCTATAGAAAAAAAATCAGGCCTCAGTTATGCCTCTGAGGCATTTTTTTTTTCTATAGAAAAAAATCAGGCCTCAGTTATGCCTCTGAGGCATTTTTTTCTATAGAAAAAATCCGGTCTCAGTTATGCCTCTGAGGCATTTTTTTCTATAGAAAAAATCCGGTCTCAGGGACACCTCTGAGGCATTTTTTTCTAAAGAAAAAATCCAGCCTCAGGGATACCTCTGAGGAATTTTTTCTATAGAAAAAATCCGGTCTCAGGGACACCTCTGAGGCATTTTTTTTCTATAGAAAAAAATCCAGCCTCAGGGATACCTCTGAGGAATTTTTTTTCTATAGAAAAAAATCAGGACTCAGTTAAGCCTCTGAGTCATTTTTTCTATAGAAAAAAATCAGGCCTCAGGGCAAACTCTGAGCCATTTTTTCTATAGAAAAAAATCCGGCCTCAGTTAAGCCACTGAGGCATTTTGTTCTATAGAAAAAATCCGGCCTCAGTTAAGTCGCTGAGGCATTTTTCTCTATAGAAAAAAATCCGGCCTCAGTTAAGTCACTGAGTCATTTTTTTCTATAGAAAAAAATCCGGCCTCAGTTAAGCCACTGAGGCATTTTCTGCTATAGAAAAAAATCCGGCCTCAGTTAAGCCACTGAGGCATTTTTTTCTATAGAAAAAAATCCGGCCTCAGTTAAGCCATTGAGGCATTTTCTTCTATAGAAAGAAATTCGGCCTCAGTTAAGCCACTGAGGCATTTTTTTCTATAGAAAAAAATCAGGCCTCAGTTAAGCCACTGAGGCATTTTTTTCTATAGAAAAAAATCAGGCCTCAGTTAAGCCACTGAGGCATTTTTTTCTGTAGAAAAAAATCAGGCCTCAGTTAAGCCACTGAGGCATTTTTTTCTATAGAAAAAAATCAGGCCTCAGTTAAGCCACTGAGGCATTTTTTCTATAGAAAAAAATCAGGCCTCTGTTAAGCCACTGAGGCATTTTTTTCTATAGAAAAAAATCAGGCCTCAGTTAAGCCACTGAGGCATTTTTTTCTATAGAAAAAAATCAGGCCTCAGTTAAGCCACTGAGGCATTTTTTTCTATAGAAAAAAATCAGGCCTCAGTGACGTCTCTGAGGCATTTTTTTCTATAGAAAAAAAATCAGGCCTCAGTTACGCCTCTGAGGCATTTTTTTCTATAGAAAAAAATCAGGCCTCAGTTATGCCTCTGAGGCATTTTTTTCTATAGAAAAAAATCAGGCCTCAGTTATGCCTCTGAGGCATTTTTTTTTTCTATAAAAAAAATCGGCATCTGAGGCATTTCCTGAGGTGTTTCCTTAGGAACCTAAGACTTATTCTTCTTCCATAGAAAAATTGTTTTTTTCTTAGATTTCAAATATTTAAAATCTTTCTCTCTCTCCATCCAGATCCTCCGTAAATTGGGCATTAATAGCTTGTTCGATCACACAGCCAACTTGAGTGGTTTCTCCACCGAATCAAGTCTAATGTTTGGCGATGCCAAACATGTTGCCAAAATCAAGGTTGACGAGGAGGGCAGTACGGCCGCAGCAGCCACCGTTGTGTTCAGTTTCCGTTCGGCACGTCCAGCAGAACCCACCAAATTCGAATGTAATCATCCCTTTATGTTCCTGATCTATGACAACACCGCCAAGGCTGTACTCTTTACGGGCATTTATCGTGATCCCAAGACCCAGAAGTAGGTTTCCACGAATATGGAACCTCTATCACATCCAGTGAATTGAGAATTATTTTTTCCAAAAGTTCTCTGACCTGTGTTTTTTTTACTCGTCATCTCTTTTCTTTTGATTTATTTTTTCGCTTTAATTTTAACTACTGCAGCTGCTGCTAAAACCACGACATTTGCTTTTTTTTGCCCTATTCTTTGTCTATTGTTTTATGTTTTTTATTTACAACAACAACAACAAAAAAGAGGACGTGCTTAATAATATTCTTTTCTATGTGTGTGTTTTTTTTTTTTTTTTTTGTTTTATTTCGTTTATTATTATTTTAATTTTATTTAATTTGTATTTTATAAGTTTTTTGTGTTTTATTTGAAATAAATTATATTAATAATAATAATAATCATAACAATGACCGTTAGGGTAATTTATAATAAAAAAAAAAGGAAAAACAAATGAGAAAATTATTTCCGTGTTTTATTGTTGCTGTTGTCTTTGTTGAATGGGGAGAGAGAGAACTAGTTATTGTTAGCTGGCCCTAAAAATTTTCGCTTGCATGTTTTAAATTTGAATTGAAATGGGAAATGCTTTCCACGAAGAGTTATAATTGAGTTATTGAAAAGCAATTTGAGAATTTGAGAATTTTACAATTTTAAAATGTGAGTAATAAATATTATCTATTGTTTATGAGATATGACAATTATGCAATTATATGGGGGAAACTTATTTAAAAGAAGTCTAAAAAAGGGGGCCTTGAAAGTTCTTTTGTCTACAGACAACCCTATTTAATACATTTGATTTATGGAAGGTGTTATAGAAAATGTTCTGCCTAAAAAATCTTAGGGTTAAAATACCTGTTCAAAATAACCCTCTTCGCACTCTGGTTGAGAGAAATATTTATATATACCAAGACTGAAAAGAATCGCTGATATGTTTCGCAAATTATAAGCTATATAAATATTGAAAATTGTTACCTTTTGTGGGGGAGGTACCAGAAGGAGTGGGCCGATATCTATCATCTTTACATCAGATGTAGCTTCGAAAAAAAAATGTTGGGTTGTGTAAATTAAAAATTGGATGCTTATTTCGATTTTTAATAAGCCTTTTGGTTATTCAAAATGTTGACCCTTAATGTGGGAGGTACCAGAAGGAGTGGCCCAATATATCCCATCTTGATCCGAGATTTTGTATTAGAAAAAATATTGAGATCAGCCGAATTTGAAATAAATCGTATGTTCTTTTCGAATTTGATGAGCCTTTTTGATCATTAAAATTGTTGACTCCTTTGTGGGGGAGGTAAAAAAAAGAGGTGGGCCGATATCTACCCCAGATCTTGCTTCGATAGAAATATTGGGATTTTCGAACTTGATGAGACTTTTCGTTAATTACAATTTTTGACTCCTTTGTGGGGGAGGTAAAAAAGAGGTGGACCTGTATCTACCATTTTAACCCCAAAACTTGTGTTGATAGAAATCTTGGGATGTGCCGATTTTGAAATGAATCGGATGCTTTTTCGTAGTTTATGTGCGATTTGTTAATTCAAATTGTTGACCCTTTGTGGGTGGGAGGGACCAGAAGACGTAGACCGATATATTCCATCTTCACACCAGATCTTGCTTCGATAGAAATGTTGGGATGTGCCGGATGTTTGAAAGAAAATGGATGCTAATTTCGCAATATATGAGCGTTTTGATAATTAAAAAAGTTAACACCTTCGTGGGGGAGGTACTAGAAGGAGTTATCTCATATATATCCTATCTTGACACCAGAGTTTTTATTAGAAAAATTATTGGGATCTGCCGAATTTGGAAAGAATTGATTTTGATCTGCCGCATTTTATGAGCGTTTTTTGGTAATTAAAACTTTTGACCCCTTTGTGGGGGAGGTACCAGTAAGAGCGGATTGATCTATATCGTCTTCATACCAGATCGTGTGGTAATATAAATATTAAGATTTGCCGAGTTTGAGAAAAATTGGATGCTAATTCCGCATTTTATGAGGGTTTTTGGTAATTAAAAATTATTGTCTCCCTGTGTGGGAGGTACCAGAAGGAGAGGACCGATGTCTTCCGTTTTCACACCAACTCTTGTGTTGGTATAAAAATTAAGATGTGTTGAGATTCAAAGGAATCGGATGGTTATTCCGCATTTTATGAACTTTATAGTTATTCACAGTTTTGACGCTTAATAGGGGAGGTACCAGAGAGAGTGGTCCGATATATTGCATCCTGACATCAGATTCTGTATTAAAAAAATTTTGGGATCTGCCGAATTTGAAATGAATCGTATGCTCTTTCCGCATGTTGTGAGCGTTTTTGTTATTTAAATTTTTGACCCCTTTATGAAGCAGGTAGAAGAAGGAGTGGACCGATCTATATCATCTTCACACCAGATCTTGTGTTGATAGAAATATTGGGATGTGCCGAGTTTGAAAAGAAAACCGATACTTATTTTGCTTTTTGTGATTTTCATGGTTATTCAAAATTTTGACCCGTTGTAGGGGCAGGTTCTAGAAGGAGTAGCCCGATCCATCCCACCTTCATACAGGATATGGAGTTGGTAAAAATATTGGGATATTGAAAATATAAAGATAATCGGAATCTTCCTTCACATTTCATAAGCTTTGGGTTTATTCAAACATTTGACTCCCTGTGGGGAGAGGTACTAGAAGGAGTTGGAGGATATTGCCCATAATGGCCATTTTCACAACAATTTAGCATTGATCAAAAAACAGATTTAAAAAATTTGGATGATCTTTTCTTGGTCTATAAAATACATATTTTTCTGCGAAAACTTTGACGTTTTGTGGGGGAGGTACCAATGGGATTGGGCCGATAATGCCCATCTCCGAAGTCGATCTATGTTTGATAAAAATATTACGATGCACCAACTTTGGAATCAAATTGGATATTCCCTTCGAGAGTTATTGTGCGCATTACCCAGACAGGCGGAAACCCCTAGATCGACTCTTACATGTCCTGAAATGGATTTTGTTCAAAAAGACCTAGGATCTAAACAAATATTTGAAAGAGTATAAAAATGACAAATGTAATGTCAAACGATGACCAAGAAGGGGATAAAGCTGGGTTTTCTTCAACACTTTGGGCTAGAGGGACTTATTCCTCACTTTTCTAAACTATCATTGAAGCTTCACGGTGAACCAACAACGATTTAGTTGGCGAATATTCCTACACTTCCACACATTAATTTTTGTGCATTATCTTTTGATTACCCTGGATAATTTTATGAATCCTGGTTCTTAACATCGATAATTCTTTGGCCTTACCAAGTTAATGAGCAGTACGTTCGGCGAGGCTGGACTTTGAATACCCTCCATCATTTGGAACAAATTTGGATATTAAAAAAAAATCCATTAACAATTCTTTCAAAATCTTAAGAATACAGAATGTAGGGAGTTTCCGTTATATTGGGGTTCACACAAAAACGTGGATATTCATAGGCAATTTTTGACATAAGCCATTAGAGTATTCAAACAATTCTGGTGGATAATGTCTCAAAAACATCAAAATACCGAATAATGGAGAGGAACCGATATATGCGGGCTATACGAAGACCTGGAAGTGCATAGAAAATTGTCTGTCACCGTCTTTGGTACCTATTAGAAACTCCAAATACGAAATTTGAAACAATTCCTGTGAATAATGTAGATAAAATTATCAAAATACCGAATAAAGGGAGGTACCGTTTTACGGGTGCTATACGAAGATTTGGACCTGCATATGTCACAGGCTGTAGTTCCCGTTGGGAAATCAAATACAAAATTTGAAAACATTCCGATGAATAATGTAACTAAAATCATCAAAATGCCGAATATAGGGAGGTACCGATATGTGGGGGGCTATGCGAAGACCTGGACCTGCATAGGCAATTTTCTGTCACTGGTTGCATTACCCATTACGGACTTTTATTACGAAATTTGAAGCAATTCCAATGAACTATATCGCTATTATCATCAAAATACCTAATACGGAGAGTTACAGTTATATGGGAGCTATACCTAAACGTGAACCAATATAGACCATTTTCAATACCGGAAGTCCTGCAGACAAAATACACATTTGAGTTAAATTGACATAAAATTTTATGCCGATCAAGAATATATGTATTTTGTGGGGTCTAAACTGTATATTTCGAGGTGTCACAAGCGAAATGGCAAACTGGCTATACCCTCCATATTATGGTGGAGGGTATAAAAATGTATCATATTAACATATCAGTCAATATACCACAGGAATATACAGGCCTCTTAACAATCTTCCATATTAGTCACTCCAAAAATATATATATAAGCCGGAATTTTTGGTACTGAAAAAATAGAGCCGAAACATACCTATGAAATCAATTTGACCGAAAATATACAATTCGTATTATCCTTAACAAATACCACATTGGGAATTTACAGTACATAAAAATACTATCGCTTGAATTAACATATAATGGCGAACTTCTGTGTGAGTCACAAAATTTATTTAAAATACGTTGGTTTTTTGCAAAAGGAGATGCTGATAAGAAAGAAGAAGAAAACAAATTCGTCATCGCAGTATGTCACTTAGTAAAATACAAGACATACAAACTCAAATAAAAATCACAAGGTTAAATGTCACTGGAACACCATCACAAGTGCTGAGATAGAAGAACAACAACACAATGCATTTAATTTTTTTCTGTTATTCAATATTTTGTTTCAATTTTATTTTTAATTTTTCTTCTTCTTCATTTCATTATCTTTCTTTGTGAATGCCAATTTGCATATATTTTTGGGTAATATCACAGTGATTGACATTTTTTTCTTCAATATTTTCTTGTGTTAAACATTTACAATTAGATTATGTTTTTTTTTCAACATCGAGGGAAAAGAAAATTGAATGGAGGAGAGTACATCTGTGGTGGTTCCTTGAAGGAATACCTTTATAACTTTTAATTACTCTTTGGAGTTTTTCTTCGTTTATATAAATTTTGCTTCTTTTCCTGATGTACATTTTCTTCCAATTTGTTTCTTTTCTTTACAAAAAAAACATACATAAATAATTTAACATTTTGTCGTTAAAAGTTCTTCTGCGTATTTTTTATCTTGAAAACAAAAATACATATTCTTTTGTGTGTTAGTAAAAAATAATAATAGTTAATAATAATTACTGTATACATAATTCTTCTAAACAGGTAAATATAAACCCTATGGATAATTGGATTGGCGATCATCGTCATTACAAAAAAAAAAGTAAACAAAAATATACAAGTGTCCATTTAGTAAGTGTTGTTGTTGTTTTGTTTCAGAATTTTGGAGCTAGGAGGTCCACCAAAGGTTTATATATCATCTGGTCTAACTATAAGAGCATATAATGCAAAGCCAAGGAACACAATACCACCAACAATGGTAACCGTGCGCACAGAAATTTTGGCAGCCACCATGCGGCCACCAATCACAGCCAGACCGGTGCAAATGGAGTGGCCAATAATGCCACCGGTAATAACACCATAGACGTCCTGTAAAAAAAAAGAAGATATAAAAATTAATGTTTCTTGAAATTGATATTTTTCTTAACCACTTACCTTAGTTGTGGCCAAAATAATGGTGGTCAATTGAGAACGATCACCCCATTCAGCCAGGAAGGTCATTGTAAAAGCTTGCATCAAAACGCGTGTCGTCAAATATGCTGCCGATTTCTTTGTATTCTTACGTACTACTCCACTTTCTGGATCCTGTATTAGGTTGGCAGAAACATCACGTTCCAGCTATAAAAGAGACATGTAAAAATTTACATTAATTTTTAATACAAGCAGCAGTATGGGAGTGAAAGAACTAATAATGTTTTGTAAGACAAAAAAGAAGATGGTGGAGGATTGAAATAAAGAAAAATATTAACACACAAATAATGAAACGAGAAAAAAAATTTAAATTATTTACAAAAAATTATAAAAAATGAAAAAAATATATATAAACATTTTTATGTAAAATTGTGGGTGATTTGGGTGAGTGTGAATGATTGGGTGTGGTAGGATGGGTGTATGGATGATTTTTTTGAACTAAATCAGAGCTGTAAAATAGAATCCAAGTTTTTCCTTTTTAAATTTTTGTTGGTATGTTGTTATCAAACTTTTTGATACATTTATGAATATTTTTCCAATTTAATTATTTTCAATTATTCTTTTCTATTTTTTGCAGAAGAATCCTGAAATTTATTCCTGGATTACATGGAAAGACACCATATATTTTTCTACAATATTTAAATGTCAAAGTTGTGTCCCAAACTAATTATAAAGCAAAGACTGGATATGGAATATGGTCTATAAAAAACGTGATAAGGGAGGCTAATCTAAAACTAAAATGTGCTCACTTAAGGTCTCATGTGCTCACCTTAGGCCTAGAATCTATTTCAAATGGAACACTACCGAGCCTCATTCAAATCAATTCCATCCTTTTTATGACAAAGTTGGCTAAGAAAACAAAGGAACAAATAAAACCAAAATGAATAGCACATTCTAAACTAAAAACATCTAGGTGAGAAAAAATCCTGCATGACGTAAAGCCAGAACCTAAACCATCTACGTAAGTACAAAAATATTAGTTGTTAATGATTCAAGTATTCTCCGCTGGTAAAAAATTTCCTAAAACTAAAATTATTCTCTATGCAGACCGACTGTAGAGTAAAAACTTACAATTTTTGTTTTAAATAATCTCGAACCAGGTATCATTGATCTGCTGAGAGTAAAGCTTAGTAATCCTCTAACGATTGAGAGCCCAAATCTTCTACAAAACTTGAATAAATAGGAGTTTGAGAATCATAGGGGGTTTTTAATTTGGAACCATAATTCAAATATAGGCGAGGGCTAAAACTCGTACTCAGTAAAAAAAAAAACAATTTTAGTCTTAAAACACCTCTCTACTCATCAAGTATTCTAAGATTCCAAAATAGATTTTATTTTCGTTGCTTAAGTCCGTCATGGAAAAGTCCAAGATGTTGGAAAAGGGTAAGCAAATATGAATTTGCTGAAGAATTCTGATCAGGATGAACTAGAAACACAAACAGGCAAAACCGACCTAAGATACATTTTTCGAAAGTGGAATGAATGAAAAGCCAGAATTCAAAGAAGGCAAGTTGTACCACAAAATTCTTTGGAGAACCAACAAAACGATCCAAATGAGAATCTAAATATTCCGTCCATTTCCTTAGAAGCAGGAAAGGGATTAGATTAAACCTCTAGAAGGGCAAAACATTATCAAACCTGCAAAAAAGAGCCTTCCATTAAGTACAGGAAATGGGACCTTTACAAACGTGAAAACTCCACGGTCTTTGGATGGAATCGATTTTAGACAATCTTCTAAAAAGCAGAGACGAATTTTCAAAGAAGTTAATTGACATCGTAGTCTCGACTTGGGAAAATGTCTGGTTAAAAATTGTGAGAAATGGGACATTCATCAACAAGGCTACTTTCTTTGTAGAAGAGAAATAGACAATGCATTTTTGAACCCCCCTTAAGAATGTCTGATAATGAATATGGCATCTTCATAGTATTCGAAGTTCTCAAGAAGCTAGTTTTTCAAATTAAAGCACTAAGTTTAAATGGAGCTGACTGATGCTAAATTACACATAACCACCCAGAGAAGGCCTTAAGGAGGTCCTTATAAATGGATTAGTTATTTAAAATTTAGCATCTCCAAAGTTGAAGAGGACTAACTGTGAATCGAGGTTCTCAAGAATCTAGTTAAGTCTCTCCATGTGAGATTTTCAAACATAAGCTGCCAATTTGCCAGCCAGGTAGAGAAGACCCTAATGAAGTTGAAGATAGACTAAGGCGTTAACTAGTTTCGGTGGATGCCGAAGAGATGTCTGAGGAGAATGGAACCGCTGATTTTTGGATGACTTTATTGAAGGAAGTGATTTAAGGAACTACGATTATAAAAAGGGACTTTCTAATGGTCGAAGTGCTTCACTATCAGGAGTTAAAGTCCCCAAGAAAGTAGCTGACACTATTGTTTGCTTTTGAATAGTTTTTAAAATGAACCAGTCAAATGGAAAGGAATTTTGCATAGCTATCAAGACTAGGCTCTCGAAAAACGTAATGGCTAAGGCGTTATCTAGGGGATAACGCTAAGGCGTTATGTAAGGGAAAATTCGTCAAAATACTGTTTTCAAAAAAGGATGAGACAGACGATTCTTGGATAACCTTCTAAAAAGAGAGAGGTTAAGATAAAAAAAAATATTTTATATTGTAGGGGACTGGCTGAGAGTTCTTAGCCTCGCCGTCAATAATTGAGGTCCCAATGACGTTATTTAACACCATAATCTTTTTTTTGTCAACAAAACAAAAATTGCGTCTTCGAAAAAGAGTGCGGTCGACCTTGGGCCTAGACAACAAGACATTGTTTGCAAGGAAATGGGAAGTTTTCCATAAAAAGGAGAATAGAAATAGGAGGCACATTCCACAACCACATAAAATGGCAGTCATCGCAAGAGTGACACATATATTCAGCCTCCAGAAACTGGCATTGTTTGTGAAAAAATAAGATTGGTTTGGATAAGCTTTGATAAACCAGTCCAAGGTTAGAGCGTTCTATTTGTTTTACAGTATTCTTCAAGTCAGAATAGCGAGAATGGGAGAAAAGTAACTAAAAGACAATGAGGACGTTGAAGCCGATGCCACGGACTCCCATGAATTCCTTCTGTCAAAAGAAGGATCAATTCCTCCTTGAATCCTTGATTCATCGATGTGAAATGGTGTTGATCCAATCATTAAAGATAATATAGGCTAGGACAAATATTTTATGCCGAGGACGCTCAACGTGTTCAATGCCGAATTCATTAAACCTGAAAGGCGAGAGTAGAAGTAGAGGAGAGAAAATTAAAATGATTATTTCATATATACAAATTGTTAAAACAATTATCGGTTCAAAATGTCGCTTGTTTAAATGATTTTCTCAATAGCTGATAATCTAATTTTTGGTGGAAAATGTACCAATTTTCATGGAATTATTAACAAAATTAAAACATTTTCTCGATAAAGATTCCCAACGATTCCATAATTTGCTGCTTTTCTGGAAAATTGATGCAGTATGGATAAGGGACTAACTATTCTTCCTTTTTAAATAACATTTTATACTAAAAGAGGATATTCGAGGATTATAGGAATCTGGTAAAGGAATTTTAAAAATTATTTGATTAGTTAAACAATATAATAAATTGAACTAATAAGTAGCCAACATGGACATACACACATTTTAGAAATACAAAGGCATGTTTTGTACTCTATATATAAAGATATTAAAGAAAAAAACAGACCCGCGACCCTTTAATGTTATGTCAATGCTTTGATTAAATTAAAAAAAAACAATGCAAAGAAATATGACTTGTGGCTGGTTAGTAGTGATGGCAAGAACCGAACGAGAAGGCATACAGTAGATGGATGGATGGTTGGGTGGGTGGATTGATGGATGGATGGGATTGTATAGTTGGTTGAATGCAGTGTGGCAGTTGATAAAACTTAAAACTGAACCCAAAGGCAGTAAAATAATGCACAATGACTTGTTTTTTTTGTGAATTCGTGGAATTATTATGAAGTGATGTGTTGTTGATGATGGTATTTACAAAACAAAAGAAAGAAAGAAAGAAAAAAAAATACAGAAATGTTCTTGTAACGAAGGAAAAAAATCGAATATAATAATGAACAAAACAAACGCCTTAAATAACTAAGACGCTAACCCGTTTCTTGCTTCCGCCAAATTGATTCAAATCGCCATTGGACTGACCAGCAGTGCCATTCAGATTATCGAGACTATTATTGTTCGAGTTGAGGATGGTGGTGGCGTTGTTGTTGTTGTTAAGTATCGGGCCGCCATTCAATTTGTTCGAGGACGAAGATTTGTTCATATTGGCCATGGCGGAGCTTGAATGAACCAGCACATCGGCTCCACTGCCACCCTTATGCGGTGTACCACCATTACTCTGAGTTCCATTAAATCTAAGCTTATTAATACTAGAGGTATCATCACAATTGGTTTGATTCGTTTGATTGGATAAGGCGGATGCCGACAAGGCGGGGCTGCTGTGGAAAGTGGACATTTTGATGTGTTCATCGTTGCCCTTGAGGAAGGCATCAGCTTCGCCACTATCGCCATCAGCGTCATTATCATTGTCGGCATCTTTGTTCGGTTGATCACAGCCATTGCTTGTAATGCTAGTTGAGTGATTCGATGAAAGTTGTTTGCGTTGACGGTGTTGCATTTCGGGGTTCTTGGCAGTGGATAGAACAGCAGCAGCAGACGTCTTGGTGGTTGTGGTTGAGGAGGCGCCAGCGCCGCGTTCCACATCGTTATCTTCCTTGTCTGAATTGCTGTTTTTGCGTTTGGCTTCACTGTCGCTGCCACGTTTGGTGCGCAGGAACTGAAAGCAGCAGCATAGCATTTTACACCACAATCCCATTCCCGAGTCCAAACACCACAATCCCATTCCCGAGTCCAGCAAATGAATGGGCGGTGGGGTTGGGTGGATTTGCCAATTACATTGGAGAGAGAGCGAGCGAGGGAGGAAGGAGGAGAGGTACACATCAATTATTGTTGTTGTTAAGAAATTTTGTAGTAGGTGGGTGGGGTGGTCAAGTGCAGGTTGTGATGATGATGATGATAAAGTTGTTGATAGCAGCACAGCCAGCAGTCAGTGTAGCAATACAATTTGTTGTAGTTTTTGGGATATGATGATGTCACACATTTGATTTTTTGTAATGGGATAATCAAGGATTGTGCAGGATAATTTGTTGCAATATTCCAATTTTTGGTTTTCACAACAAACATCATTTTGATGAAGTTGGGGTGCGGGAGTAGAGATAATCGGACCCCATCGAACAACCAACCAACCACACATTCATTTTTAGTTCGACAGTAGAAGTAGTGGTAGAAGTAGTAGCAGTAGTAGAAGAAGAGTTTCAATGGAAAAAAGAAAATAACAAAATAAAAAAAATCGCATTAAAACGATTCGCACACAAATAGTAGACTGAATCGAAACAAAATCGTCACATTAGATTTATTGTTGTTGTTTTTTATTTGTTGTAAGTTTAGGAAATAAGATGATAATGTGGGGTTTCTTTTAATCATCGGTGATCCAAACACAAGAAGATTTTAACATAGGCTTTTTTGTTTATGTCGTTTTAGATACAAATGTGCGCTGCAAAAATACCGCAGAGGAAGGAATAGGAATAGTTGTGGGAGCAGAAAGAGAGTATAGGATAATGCAGCAAAAGATGTACAGCAGGAAGGGAGAGAAATGTTGTAAGGATAGTATTTTCTTCCTTTTTTACTTTTTGAGCAGCAAAAATGAAAACATTCCGGTTAATTACGTTCTACTTCGATTTTAATTGGCGTCTCTTGAAACCAGCGTTCTTTTGATTTTGTTTCTTTTGATAGGAAATCTTTTCTAAACTTCCATAAAGTGACCTAAGATATCCTGAGTTATTTACTTGTTTTGTAGTTTGATTGTGTATATTAGGTTAACATTAAAAAAAAACTATGGGGAAGAAAGAGAGAGAAAGCTAAAACCTACCCAGAAGGTATAAGTCGAAAATTCAAAGTGAAATACTGCCGATCTGAATGTATGTCCTTAATATTACATTGAGACTATATAAATATCCATTATTCATATCGTTACGCATGAAAAGGTTAATAAGTGCATCTGCAGTTTAAGATGTCCTGCCAAGATATGTAATTTACTCATAGAAAGACCGAGATAAGGGTAAATGGTCTAAAATTGTTGCTAGACGAATCCAAAGGTGAATATGCAATATATTTTCTTGTGAGGAAAGTTACCGAAAGGAGGTCAAAATGTAGAGTCTTCAGTCCATATTTCCTGGCAAGAAGACTTATTTTATCCATGGATATGTCAGGTCTGAAATCTAAGGCTCTTCTAGCTAGGAATTCCAAATTTCCGTGAAGTGATCTAACCTATCCTAAGCTATTCATTTTATTTTTTGCTTGTTTTGTTAGTTTTTTTTTTCGTCAACACGTGTTGTAATTTTCTGATAGAGAGGTCGAGATAGGGGTCAAATCAACCCTAAAAGGGATATGCAAAATATTTTCTTGTCAAGGAAACCAATGAAAAGGTGAACAAAATCGAAAATATTCTGTCCATAATTTCTAGCAAGAGGGGTTACTTTATCCATTGTCAGGACAGATATAGAATTTAATTTTCATTTTACCTAGCTAGAAGAAGTACCTCAACCATATCCAGAATTCAAATATTTTTGAAAGATATACTATTAACGATAGCTGAAAAAAGGTTTGCTATAAATGACACTTTATCAAACAAGGTCTCAGAACATGCATATTCGATTCAGAATTTCTTGTTTATATTTTTGCTCATAGTCAGGGAAAAACTTGGATCTACAGTTCATAGGTTTGTACTTACTACTGAAAAAATGATCAAAATCGAAAATCTTCTATAAGAAAAGTTATTTTATCCATTGTCAGGACAGATATAGAATTTCATGTTCATTATACCTAGCTATTAGTAGTACTTCGGCCATAAAAAGGTCAATTAGTGGATACAGAATTCAAATATTTTTAAAAGATGTTTGCTATAAATGAGACTTTATCAAACAAGGTGTCGGAAAATGCGATGCCAGTCCATATCGCTTATGTCCAAACTAACCAAAGTGTAAAGTGCCGCGACATTACTTGCAAAAGGATGCTTCACTTCCAGCCATTGAATCTTTGGTTTAGTTTAAAGTAGCATGCACGAATCTTGGATATATCCAGAAGTCGGAACATCTTAGGTGAAAGTGATCAAATTTGTGAATGCATGCCCTCGGTCTGGCTATGTACATCAGATTGGATTGGATGCGTATTTTGCCCCCACTCCAACAAGATGCTCATATATAATTAATGAAAGTTGCAGCATTTTTAAACGGACGACAGACGAAATGCTATTGTTTAACAGCATAACAGTACCAGTTACTATATATGTCGATAGGCAGGAGGCGGTCCTTACCGCTACCATCTCAAGTGCCACCAAATCGAGAACAATTTTTGATTGCAAAAAACAAAACCTTTTTTAAAATACGTGATTTTTTTGAGCTTTGATGGGTCCCAGTGTCGAATGAAGTGACTGAGTTAGTTTGAAATGACTTATTTAGTTTATGAGACTTTCAAAACACCAATAATATATTATGTCAGCTGCTTCATTCGATGAAGTTGCGTAGATCCCATCAACATCTATAGGTTTGCTAAAAGCAATTTCTTTACTCTGGTTTTTATTGTTAGAGGTGCTAACACGGAGGTATTTTCTAACTAGGGACATAGGTTACATATCGATTATAGAGATATCAAGATTAAAATCTACGTCTTATTATGTGCCGCTAGGAGTTTTTTTTACCGACTAAGAGATCAGGAAGGTATGCTCTACATGAGCAGACAATTTTAGACTTGGAAGATTTGGTTGACATTTTTGTGAGGGGAAACTTGACCGAGAAAGATCTAACCGAGAGGAGATATTGGAGATCTAGGTGGGCAAAACTCTCTATAGAAGGCCTCTTGGATCTCATATTTCTATTAAAGTCTCTCAAAAGGTCTCCCAAATAAGAACGAGCTCTAAAAGATCTTTAACCAGCATATAGAAGGCTTTTAGGAAACTTATTATCCAAAAACATAAACTAATTTATTTATAGATGAAGTTTTCTATCTATAGAGGTTCTTTAAGATTTTGTCTGTCTTAAGAAGAAGACTAGAATGTCTTTAAAATATAAAAGCATCCCAAAACGATTAGTTATTGATGAAAGACTACTAGAAAGAAGTATATCCAGCCTAAGAAGCTTCTATCTCTAGGCTCTCTAAAATATCTACGTATTGAAGAAATCAATATGTATATAATCTGCAGAAGTCCACTATGAGGTTTTCCAACACTGAAAGAGGTCAAGAATAACTTCCTGTAAAAGACCTCAAGAATCTTTACAATATAAAAAGGTCTCATTTAGGTCATTTCAACACAGTATACCTTCAAAGATTAATGTAACCCGACTCGTGTAGTTAGAACCCCCTTTTTTACCCTCAGAATACTTTATAGATGAAGAACTTTTATTGTTAAAATAACTTGTTTAAATAGAAGATTCGCAGGTCTAGATTAGATTAAATTCATACGAAAGACACCACCTAGCAGAGGTTAGAGGTCTTCCGTATATAAAACACCTCTAAAAAGCAAAGTTTGTACAAAAGACACTAAAATGACTCGCCTGCCAGAAATCTATAGAACGAATACCTTTGGCCGCTTTAGTTACAAAGAGGGTGAAGGTAAAAGACCTTCTCTGGGGTTCCTATAACCAAAAGATTTGATTTTGATGATAAAAATACCTAGAAGACCTACTTTAATTAAAATACCTTTAAGAAGTCATTTATAGTTGGAATATAAGACGTTCATATATAGCATGTTATAGTGGTTTTCCTTGAATAGAGTCTTCTAAAAATAAACAATTTCCGAGTATTATGTTAAATATAATCTATAATCTATATAAAAATTAAAACCGTTTATATGTAGAAGCCCCCCAGAAGATCTATTATCAATGGAAGACCCATATAGTTAGAAGACGTGGGTATGTTGTAAGATGTTTCATAAATACAAATCTCACAGAGGTTTCCTCTGTGCAGGAACCTTCGGTATACTCTCCTATCCATACAAAAATTGTCCGAAGATGTTTTTACTATTTAGACATTTTCAAATCCAAGTAAAAACTGTGTACTTATAGAAGACATTGAGACCTTTATCCGTTTTTACAATAGGACCTATGTATTGAGATTACATATATGCAAAAAACTGGTTATGTTGCAGGGCTCAGGGAACAATATATTAGAACCATAATATACACAATCTTTATATTTTTTAAACGTTTAATTTTCAATCATAATTTTAACGTTAACCCCAAATCGCAAATCAATCCCAAAATCAAAATCCTAACCTAAAAAATCCTTAATTTCTTTATAATGTGTAATCTTGTGTAATGATATTAAACCCTTAACCGGAAGATACGCCACTGCCAAATTGTTTATACTCAAGCATTCGAAGCATATTCAAATTAGTTATTTATAGACCCAAAAATATGGCATGCATTATGAGCATGGTTAGGAATTTTCTTTAAGATAAGATAAGGATTAGGTCAGAGGAGAAATAGGATTAGAAAAAAAAAACAAAACTGTTTTGGAATGGAAATTTAAAATGTAGTGACGGTGGTGAGAACACAGAATATTGTCATTGGGTAAGGCTGGGGAAAACAATTTCCCACATTAGTTGATTAGTAAGAATCCAACGATTTGCAGCAGTCAATTTGCCTTGATTTGTTAATTTCAATTTTTTTACAGCTGTGATTTTTGGTAAAAATGTTAATTTGTTGTTAAAAGAAATATAGATGGATTAGTTTTTTTTTTCTAAAGAAATAAAAATAAACAAAAAGTAGTAATAGACCAAAATTAAATATTTACAACTACAAACAATTGTTCCAAGGAAAGCTACAGGAAATACATATGGGTGTGTGTGTTTGGCATTTAAAAAAAAAGGATTGTGTGGTGTGTGTACTGCACATGCTTTGCTAGGCTAACTACAACCTTAACAACCAGAAAAAAAGCCGGCATCAGTTTGTGTGATGCTCTGCCTTTTTTGTAAAAATTGTGGAGGGTTTTTCTTTTTTTTTTGTTTTTGTTGCAAATTGGAGTACCTTTAACAAACTTACCTCATCTTCACGTTTACGCAAATCCGCTTGGACTTCTTCCAATTCCTCTTGGGCATCCGTGTCCTTCATGAAGTAACCCTCGTAGATCATTTTCAAGCCGAAAAGGGCAAACAATGCTGTTGAAATGTAATATGTATAAACCTTAGGAATAATTGTTGCAGCCACGCCAAACACCACCGATAGGACTGTCATGAGGGCCAAGGCCGTAATGGCACCAGTGAAGACAACCAAACGTGGGTGACGCATAGCCATTATGGCTGCAATGAAAAAAGTCTTATCTCCTAGCTCTGTAAATAGAATTACAGAGATCGATGCTGTGAAAGCATCGAGAAAACCGGCCTGGGCCTTGGGTTCCTTTGTGGGATCGGATGCGGGTAAATCATTGCCAATGTCGAATTGTTCATCTTTAACAAATATCGCCTCATCGTTGGAAACTTTCTGCAATGGAGTGAGGGAGACAGAGATAGGGTATTATAATAATAAAATAATAACAGTAAATTTCATATTTATTATTTGATAAAAGAAAATAAGCAGAACTCATTTGCTTTGGTTGGGACATCCCGCAACAACGACCAAAAAAAGTAAACAATGCTCTTATCTTTTTTGAGGCCAACAAAGATATGAAGTAAACCTGTTGAGTTTTTTTCTTTTATCAAATATTCCGCCATAGTTTTTAACCTACCGTGGCTATGCCCATTTCCAATGCCGGGTCATCATTGTTCTTGGCTGCATCGATCTCTGCCACGCATATGGTGGAGAACGTCAGCACCGCCATTAAGGCCAATAACATATGCAATTTGGCCGAACGCTTCAGGTAGACATTGTGTCTGGTGGTTTGCCAAAAATACGACTGATTCTGTGACATATTTACTGTTGCGGCGGAGGAGGTGTTGCGATATTATTTCCGTGGTAAATTCCGTCGTTGGTGTAGTAATAACAAACAAGTTATTTTGGGGGGGTTATATTCCAAGGAGGAGGAAGATGATAGGTAATTGCCGCTGTACTCTAAACAACGTTGTTTCACTTTGAGTTCTGAAAACGCAAGAGAAAACCACAATTAATAGTATCAGCATTTTATTCAGTTCGCCTCTGCTGCTGCAGCTTTCAACCGGCTATCTGGCGACTTAAAGGTAAACATTATCAACACAATACCCTCTAGATTTTGTGTTGATTTTGAGGGGGGCTCTAGATAAGATACATCATTGCATTGTAATTGTTTAACATTCGGCTCCCCCATCCCCCATTTCTACCATTTCAAATGATGATAAGCCCCCAGAAAGAAGAACAAATGAAAAGTGTGTGAGGTGTTTATTTTTTGTTTTTGTTTTATTTTTGGGTACCCAACAAATTTCATTGATCACCTATCGCGTGTACAAGTATATTAGATGCCATTCATTAATTTCCGATAACCATTTATATATTCCCGTTTATTTCCTTAATAATGATAAGCGAATTGAATCAAATTCATTATTTTGTTATTACTATTATTTATAGCATTGCCACTAAAATCATGATGTGCTCAGGATATTTTCCAAGACTAATAAAAATATGAGCTGGTGTCATCGAAAACTCAAAATTGAATAAAGGGTCTTGGAAGTAGACAAATTTTTGATGAAAGATCCTTACGGTGTTTGCTTAAGTCTGGAGAAAAATCCTTACTGTAATCCTTTTAACTCTTCCATTTTATTTGTGTTATACTGAGGTTAACTAATCATCCATATATCGTAAAAATTAGAGTGAGTCATATAACGGTTGGCTTTGGATATGCCTGTGTCAAATAAGACAACGGAAATAAATGCCCAAAAAAAAGTCTGTACTTTTTAGTACCATTAAAAGTAGAAAAGTTCTGCAACTCCTCCAAAAAATAATTTAACATAATCTCGCTAAAAATAAAAAATGCGGAAGATGTTTCTTCTGATGTAGATATCTGATAGAGATTACATGTCTCCTATTAGGTCTCAATCGAAATGTCAGATCTGTAAGAGAAATGAACTTGATTTGATATTCGAATTCCCAATATGGATGTCTGCATGTTTAGCAGTCTATATGTGAGGAATCTACGAATTGTGTAGGCATCATTCAAGCTGATCTTTACCTCAAAATATTTGTTGGAGGCCCCGTAATGTATATAACTGCTACCAGCGTGCAATCTAGCCACGTCTATCTGTTGAAATCACGTGTAAGCACGTACCAATATACAGGGTGAGCTGAAAAAACTGCAACCAACTTCAGACTGCTGTCATTTCTAAGCCACTCGTCCGACAGATGTTAAAATTATTCCAGTGACAGACATTTCATAAAATTTTTTACAAGCGTACAAATGCATTTTGGTGAGAATTTTCCAAAAAAAAAAGTTATTCGTGATGGAAGTCCAGCGTGATAGTGTGATTTCTTTATATTTGGCTGGAAACCACAAGTGGCTATCGTTAGAGCACTCTACCTTTTAAATGTGAATAAAACTTGAAAAATGATCTCAGGGTAAAGCCATTGAAATTCCAAAAAGTGCAAGAACTTGAATGAGCTAAAGGGTTACTTCGCTTGGCCGAAAGTGGTGAACTGCCGAATTTGGTTTTCTCCGATGAGAAAACCTTCGTTGTCTAGCAATTTGTAAATCGTGTTTACTTGCCAAAGAGGTCAGCTGAAAATGTACACTTTCGGTTGGCCACCAGAACTCAAGCGCCGGCCATGGCGATGGTGTGGCCCGCCATAACAGCCGATGGTCGCTCTCCGCTCGTATTAATCGACCGTGGCATCAGAATAAATGCCGAATATTATCGCGAAAATATTTTGGAGGGCGCATTAAAGCCTTGGGCACGCAAACATTTTGGTCGCAGACCTTGGACATTCCAACAGGACTCAGCAACATCCCACTCAGCACGCGCCACCCAAGAATGGAAGAATGATTACAAAATGAGGTTCCTCGCTTCATTTCCAGCGCACAATGGTCACCAAAATCTCCGGATGCCAATCCGTTAGACTATTGTGTCTGGAGTATTTTGGAAAGCATGGTTTGCACTAAAAAGGAAGCAAAGTGTCGATCACCTCAAACAAGTGATTCGCTGGGAATGGGCCAAAATACCGCAGAGCAACATTTGGGCAGCGTGTGACGGTTTCATTGGCCGTTTGAAGGCCATAATTCGTGCCAAAAGTGACCAATTCGAACAAATCTAAACTTATTCTAAAATTTGATGCTATTTCCGACATATTTGCTTTCATTCAATAAAATTTAAAAAAAAATGTAAAAATTATGGCGTTTGATTTTGTTGCAGTTTTTTATCTCATCCTTTATTTATTATCCTCTTACCCTATGCCCTCCATCAAAACAGGACAAAAATTGATTTCCTGCATTTGTCTCTTATGCGAATCGAAGATTTTAGGAAATTCTCCAAAAGCCTCAAAAGGCGTGAATTGAACTTCTTTTTCCTTAGATTGCAGCTCAGGTTGCCGAACCCTTCTAACCTATTGAGTAGATTTAAGGAGATGATTGATTAAATGAATGTTACGTTCGTAAAAAAGATTGAAAAACCAATACCAATGAATCTGTAGTGATTATAAGATAATCCCAATATCAGCCTCTTGAGTTACATCACAGATATGATTTGTTGCTAAATCAAATTCCACACAAATCACCATTCAAGTTCAAATCCCGTACATTTCAAATGTTATGCTGTAAAATCTTGTCAGCAAGGCTATTTTCGTCACAATCTTATCGATTTTTGTGATTTGGCATGGACGTGACTACTTGAAAATGTTACTGATATGGTCTAAAGAAACAGCATACCCAATTGGACTGACTGCCATTGGTTATGATTAGAACAGAAAAATGAAACACTTTTTTTCTTCAGCGATTGATAGCGTGGATATTTGCAAATACTCACACACTCTAGTTGTTGTTATATTTTTCATTGATATTTTCTTTTTGTTGATTTTGTTGTTGTGCTTTTTTTCAGTCAGTCGGTTACTGTGAACAAGAAATGAAATAAAACTTATTTTATCAATCACAACTGTTAATTGTCTTTGCTAGAATTGTTGGAATAGAATGAATGGCAAATTGGTTCTAATATTGCGTGTTTTTTTTGTTATTATAAACCCCCTAACCAAAAAAACCCCCTTCTCTTCTACTCCATCTTTATAATACCCCATTGTGGCTGGCTGGCTAACAAAAGCGAAAGTAAAGTAATTTTTATTGACTCGAATCAAATCGAAGGGGGGAATGCGTCATTGTTTTGTTTGGCTAGGCAGCCAGTTCACTTGCTCTTTGGGTATTTGCTGCCTGACTTTTTTGGCGCTCGCTTGATTTCTGTTGCGAGGAGCGCAAAAAAAGAAATGTTGATAAAATTTTTGGTCTACGTGCAATTTTGTCGGCCTTTATTTCTTTTCGCAGAAAGTCAGAGATGTTGTGAAACATGGCGGCGCCATTGCGAACAAAGGTCCTTAGCTTTTGTCATGTAATGGCATAGCGTGACGAAAGTATGGGTAAACTGTCTTATGGCCATTGGTATGGTAGAAATACTTGTAACCTAAATGGTATCTATGTGATAATAGAAAGAAAGACGATTAATAAAAGTAAATATTTAACGTAAATAAGGATTTCCATGCAACTTAGGTTTATTTGTACGGAATCTGTAGGAATGTTAGGTTTTGTTTTCTAGTTCAAGAATTTGGAACTTATTCCATTTGGTCTCTCTGAAAGCTTGCTTAAAAAAATATGGAATAAATTAAAAAAAACCAACAAAATAATGGTTTGGCCGATAGATGTATACCCCCAGCCTTGAGTAATGATTATTCAAACCGTTGACTCTTTATGGGGGAGGTTCCGAAGCAGTTGGCCAATCTTGACCTAAAACTGTTATACATTTTACAACGTGCCAGATTTGGACTATAGAGACTACTTCCTGCACTTTATATGAGATATATGCAATTTTTTGGAAAATGTGAAAATATGCCTGAGGTAACGGATATAGCGGACTGAAGTATTCCATTGTCATACTTCATCTAATACAGCTAAAAATAATGGCATGTGCAAAATTTGAAGGAAATCGAACATTTTTATCCAATTTTATGCGAAATCATAAATTTCGATAAATTTCATATTCATCTCAGGTTTCTGGTAGAGAGAAATATTTAGATATAGCAAGTTGTAAAGAATCGCTGACTTGTTTCGCAAGTTATGACAGATATAAGTATTGGAAATTGTGAGCCTTTGCGAGAGAGGTTTTCGTTAGCAAAAATGTTTGTATATGTGAAATTGGAGAGAGTTGGATGCTTATTTTGTTCTTTAGAGCGTTTTGTTTTTCAAAATCTTGAACCCTTTTAGGGGGGAGGTACTGGAAGGAATGGTCGATCTCTACCATCTTTGTAGCAGAACTTGTATTGATAGAAATATTGAGATGTGCCAAATCTGAATGGAATCGGGTGTTAATTTCGTGTTTTATGAGCTTCATAAATATTCACAATTTTGACCCTTTGTAGAGGAGGTAGCAGAAGGAGTGGACCGCTATATTCCATCTTCACACCAGACTCTGAGTTAATAAAAATATAGTGATGTGTGTAATTTGAAGACAATCGGACATTTACATCGCATTTTATAGAGTTAAAATTATTGCAAATTTTGACTATTTGTGGGGGAGGTACTTGATGGAGGGGACCGATATTGTCCATTCTCCCAGATGATCTAGAAGTAATGCCAATATTAGGACATGCAACGTTGGAGCAAAATCGGATTATGCTTTCCCTCCCTGTTCAATAAATTTTTGTCTTTAAAAAAAATTGATATTTTGTGAGGGTGGTACCAGAAGGAGTGCACCGATATTGCCCATATCCGATCTCAATCTATGTTTGACAATAATATTACAATGTACCAAGTTTGGATCAAATCGGATAGTTCCTTCGAGACTTATCGTGCGCACCAGCCAGCCAGCCAGACACACAGTAAGAAGGACATCGCTAGATCGACTCCAAATGTCCTGAAACGGATTTGGTCCAAAGAGACCTAGGGTCTAAAACCGTTGTTTCGATAAGACACTTTTGGCCGTATCAAATGATATGATATATACCCTATATGCCAGAGAGTATAAAAATCGTTTTAACATTTTTGCAGATTATGATGAGGCTTTTGATTAGCTTTGATTTATTCTTTGTGTACTGTAGTTATGCCCATAAATGTCGGTACCATTCACTCGATGGCAGAAAAATGTTTTCTAGGGTCCAGCAGTTTTAGCAGTTTACAAAGTTGTCATTTTCTCCAAATCAACCTGGTCAATACTTTCCTGTAATCGAAAAAGGGGTCCCTAGCATTCCTAACGAAACCTAATCTAAATCTTATAATGGATATAAAACAGGCCACTGCAACGTAGAGGTCATGACATCCAAGTGGGAATGATTAATGGAGGCTCTGACGTGGTTTATTGAAACTGAAGATAAGGAGGAGACGTAAATCTTCGACATGTGGTGTGCCATGGGAATTGCTTTTCTCAACCATGCCAAGAATACTTCCTTCACTTCATTATTTCTTTCCTAGTACTTTTTTTCAATCCTCGCACAATGGACCAAAAAGTCTCCGAGCGAAGTGGATATCAAAGAAGGTATATGCTCGCATTTTAACTTAACATGGCGAGTTTACTAAGGGTTTGTAATTTATAACGTTAATGACAACTCCGCAATGGCGAAAGATTGCCTTAAGTATACAGTAGGCCATTTTAGACAACAAATCTAACCCTCTATGAAATTTCGTACTATAGCACGCCAGTCAGAGGCTGAAATTGGTTTTCGTCTAATTAATTTTCTCACGGGGACAGTGGTTCCCTCTGCGAGTTTTCAGTAGGTCATTATGTTGGAGTTGCTTCAATCTTTCCAGCTGTTTATCTCTATTCAAATATTTCTGGAAGGAAGATTTTTATTGGTGTTTAAATCGTGACTCTACAGGCTTCAATGTACATTTACCTTTTGGCACTTCTAGTTCCCTTCATAAGTTAATCTTGTTACATAATTTCATTATTGGTTATCCATTCATCACAGTGGTCTTATACAATTTTCCACCACAGTACCGCAATGGAATTAATGGCAACAATTCTATTAACTTTTTTTTTGGTATAGTCAACCATAGCCACAACCGAAACACAACAATGCCTTTAATGAAACAAGTCAGGGTCAACTGATTTCTAATTGATGGACGTAAACATTGAGAACAAGAAAAAAAAATCATCCATACATACCAATGTATGTGGCTGCGTACTTATTTTCAATTAATGCGAATTTTTGAATTAAATTCCCAGCGGACTAAGGGGGGCAGGCTAACAGAATTGAGATGCAATATATGTCTCCAAATGCTGGCTACGACATCAGACGGAGATGAACGATAAGAAAGATTTTGTTTCCTGACCAGACAGACAGACAATTTGATGCTGCTATTTGTCAAACAAGACCCCGCATAACAGATGTTTTTCCGCTATTTTATTTACACAGAATTATCTCAGTAATTTATTGTTCTCCAAACAAAGAGAATAACTTTCTTCTCACATTGCCATCAGTTGGAATGTAGGGAGAGAGAGAGAGTTGGTGAGCTCCACACGCAATTGTTTTTGTTGGAGGGTGCACAAAATGAAATGTAACAAAAAGGAGAAGGTTGTCAAACTTCATGCCAGACATATACGATTGAGTGTAAAGGGTACTCCTACTTCCCTACCTCTCCTGACCCTTTCATCACATTAAGCCACCAGACAAATACAATATATTTTCGGGGGAGCTTTTGCTTAAGTAAAAAACGTTCATTGACTTGGAACTTTTACTTCTTGTTTTGGGTGTTAAATTAAAGTGGCCATTCCCGCCACACAGTCAGACACAAATGTACACACACACATACGCATATGTGACAGAATTGTTCTTGAAAAACATCTGTGAACAAATGAAAGCAAATTTATAAACAATGTACGTACATATATGTATCCAAATGATTCTATTAATAAATTCAAACAGTATATACATATATTAATATATTTGTTTGTATGTACATACATACATGTGCAAATTGTGTTTTTTTCATCAAATAAATACATTGTAAATTTGTTGGCCCCTTACAATTTCCTATAGGTAGGTAATTGTTATTTTGCAATTTACACAAGTTAATTGTTATTGCGTTGTTGTTGTTCTTTCTCCCGCTCGCTCTCTTTCTTCTAATGATGAAAGAATTTGTTAACACACAACCTTACAACACTCGTTTGGAGTTCAAAATGAACCCAAAGACAGCGGCATAGATCCGTACACCGCCATACATAATTCCAACATATTCTTTCATTTGCTTCATTTGACGTGGTACAGATGCTGACGTCAAAGAAATTTTGTTTTGGGCCACAAATCTTTTGCCAAAAATAACATAACCACACACTCGAAAAAAGTATGGCCGATTTTCTTTTTTGGTTCAAGAATATTATTAACAATTTTGCAATGGCATTCATTTGATTGCGAACGAGGGTACTTGACACTGATTCGATTCTTTTGCAATTTGATAGTCACACTTCATACAATTCGTTCACATTGTAAATTATTTTAATAACTTTTGATTTTTTTAGATACTCATCAATGTAATTGCGCCTTATAAACTATTTATGTAAATACTTGTATATCTATTATTTGTTTTTTAGTTTTTTTTTCTTAAGATTTTATCTTTTTTCTGCGAAAAACACTGCCACTTACTTTGCTCTCAAAGTGTTTATGAAATTGTGAATTGAAAGGGTCAAATTAATAAACGTCAAATGTGTTGCTATTGTGAATTGTTGTTATGCTCACTCATCTGTAAGGTGGTTACTGAGAGAGTAGTTGTTTGGTAACCATTTGGTGGGCCACGAGAGAGGGAAATAATACACAATTAGTCGAGTAATGTAACGTAGTTTTAATGAAGGGAAATTGATTATGGTCTGTTTTTTAAGACAATCGAAAGGATTCATTCGTTTCCAATTTAAAAGGAATCCAGTTTGGGTTTTTGTAACTACTTATTCGAAATGTAACTAATAACTCGAAGAAAAACGTAAGAATTTTTCATACAAATGATTTAAAGTCATCAAGAGGTCCAAAACCCTCAAAATATTTACAAAAATTTAGGGAAAAAATTAATGAAAGCGTAATCAGTAAACAAATAAATCATATTTACACATATATGTGTATAATGATACCCTCAGTCATATGGCTACAGAGGGTATATATCATTTGATACGACCAAAACGTGCCTAATCGAAATAACGGTTTTAGACCCTAGGCCTCTTTGAAAAACAAGTTTCAGGACATTTGGAGCCGATCTAGCGATGTCCGTCTGTCTGGATAGTGCGCACGATAACTACCTTAGAGTTATCGTGCGATCCGATTTGATCCAAACTTGGTACATCGTAATATTATTGTCAAACTTAGATCGAATTCGAAGATGGACAATATCGGATCACTCCTTATGGTACCTCCCCCACAAAAGGTCGACATTTACAAGGAAAATAATTTACTGCACAGAAAGAGAAAGGATAATCCGATTTTGCTCCAACTTTGCGAAACCTAATATTTGTGCTATGTCAGTTGCGAAAATGGACAATATCGGTCCACTCCATCAAGTACCTCCCCCTCAAATGGTCAAAATTTTGAATAATTATAATCCTTATAAAATGTGATGTAAGTCTCCGACTGTCTGATTACAAACATTACAATATGAAGATGAAATATATCGGTCCACTCCATCAAGTACCTCCCCCACCAAGGGTCAAAATTTTGAATATCCATGAAGCTCATAAAACGGGAAATTAATATCCAATTCCATTCAGACTTGGCATATCCCAATATTTCTATCAACACAAGATCTGTTATAAAGTTGGTAGAGATCGTACCATTTCTTGTGGTACCTCCCCCACAAAGGGTCAAAGTTTTGAATAACCAAAACGATCATAAAATCCGAAATAAGCATCTGGTTCTCTTCATATTTCATACAACTAAACATTTACGATAGCACAAGATCTGTTATAAAGATGGTAGAGATCGGACCATTTTTTCTGGTAACTCCCCCTACAAAGGGTCAACGTTTTGAATAACCAAAATTATCATAAAATTCGAAATATGCATTTCACATTCTCTTCACTTCGCATACCCCATTATTTCTACTAACACAAGATCTGCTGTGAAGATGGGAAATATCGGCGCACTCCTTTTGGTACCTTCTCACATACGGTTGAAGATTTTGAAAAACAAAACGCTCAAAAAAAACAAAGGTATACGCATTTAGAAAAACATCCTTTATTTAAACTACACTACCATATACTGAAATGCAACACTGAGGCTAGCTATTTTACTCAATGATGAAATGCAACTCTTAAATCAAAAGTCATTCTTAGTAAAATGTAACTCTGCGGTGTTTTAGTATAGCCGGAGATGTTTATAGTATCCCAAAGATGGCGCTAGTAAAAAGTGGAAGAAATTACAGATAAACCTCAAATAATGCTAATCTAGTGATTTCGCGGAGTGTATTCGTACATTCGGCGATTGTATTGGTTATGAATTCTATTCCGACTGGCTTTTTTTGAAGAGCTTCGCAAACACAAATATAACATTCTCTCTTACTACTTTTTACTCGGCTAATTTGGCCGAGTAAGAAATAGTGGCACAGCTGCCAGCACAAAAGTGTTGACGTTTTTTTTTTTACTACTTTATGTTCCCGTAATTTCTGGGTGAAGCAGTTCTCTCTTATATCAGCTCATTATATTATTTAAAAGCGCACAATAGCATTTTGGTGAGAATTTTCAGGAAAAAAGTTATTCGTGATGGAATTCAAGCGTGATAGTGTGATTTCTTTATGTTTGGGTGGAAAACCACAAGTGGCTATCGTTGGAGCACTCCAGCATTTGAATGTGAATAAATGTTTTGTGTCTCGTACCATCGCTCGTTACCGTAATATTGGTAGCGTAGTCCGACGTCAAGGAAGTGGACGGAAGAAAACAGCAACATCAGCAGAAATGGTTCGAAAAGTAAAGAAGCGACTTGATTGAAACCCGCATCGCAGTGCCCGAAAAATGGCTCGTGAGCTAACATATTGCAATATTCCATTCGGCAAATATTGAAAAATGAACTCGGGGTAAAGCCATTGAAATTCCAAAAAGTGCAACAACTTACACCGCAACGTAAAGAAGATAGACTCAAAAGAGCTAAAGAGTTGCTTCGCTTGGCCGAAAGTGGTGAAATGTCGAATTTGGTTTTCTCCGATGAGAAACCATTCGTTGTCCAGCAGTTTGTAAACAAACAAACGAACAAATGGTCGTGCTTACTTGCAAAGAGGTTAGCTGAAAATGTGCACCTTCGGTTGGCCACCAGAACTCAAGCGCCGGCCGCCATAACAACCGATGGTCGCTCTCCGCTCGTATTAATCGACCGTGGCATCAGAATGAATGCCGAATATTATCGCGAAAATATTCTGGAGGGTGTATTAAGGCCTTGGGCACGCAAACATTTTGGCCGCAGACCTTGGACATTTCAACAGGACTCAGCACCATCGCACTCAGCATGCGCCACCCAAGAATGGTTACAAAATGAGGTTCGTCGTTTCATTTCCAGCGCCGGAAATGGACCAAAATACCGCAGAGCAACATTCGGGCAGCGTGTGACTGTTTCATTGGCCGTTTGAAGGCCATAATTCGTGCAAAAGGTGACCAATTCGAATATATCTAAACTTAATCTAAAGTTTGATGCTATTTCCGTCATTTTTTGCTTTTATTCAATAACATTAAAAAAATGCAAAAATTATGGGGTTTGACTTTGTTGCAGTTTTTTTTATCTCGCCCTGTATATATATATATATATATATATATATATATATATATATATATATATATATATATATATATATATATATATATATATATATATATTCATTATTCAACATTTTATAAAGGACTCCCTGGATTTTTTAATAAAGTTCACCTATACTTCTACAAACTTCCAAAACACCTTTAGTTATTTCATTTTTAAATGAATCATTTATTGATATTTTCAATACATTTGGAATACACATAATTTGTTTTTGTTTTTAATTACATATTAATTAAATTCAATACATATATTTAATATTATTTAACTAAGAATATGAATACTAATTTAAAAAACTATTATTTTTTGTAAATCAGAATGAGTTCAGATACAAACTCTTATTCTCTGGCTAAGGCACTCTTAATATTAGCACACGTATGTATTTATAAAACTTAAAATATTTAGAGGGGCGAAAAACCTAAAACTAAATTAACTAAAATACTTTGTACACAATTTATTCATATTTTTAAAAACTAACAATAGTAATAATAGAGAGAATATAACTATACTTCGAAAATGCATGAGATTTTATAGATAATTATTCTTATTTTATAAAAAAAACGAAACAATATTTCTATATACAATTTGAGGGTATGAAAATTACATAATTATTATATTTGTGTAATATTGTAAGTATTTATGTTTGATTTTTTTTTTAATTTCTTAAAAATACTATTTCTTAAGTCTTTTCAAAATAAATGTGTTATAGGTGCAATTGTTAGAAGTAAAAAATTGATGATTATACCATGGTAGAAAAATACAGGTAGATGCATCAACACTTAGGAGCATTGATATGCCAAACATTTTTAAATGTTCTCTCAAACATAAGTATATTTTTATACGTTTTCTTATACGACGTCACTCGGAGGTTAATATAATTCGAGTTTTTCAACAATTTTTCCAAATTTGAATACATTTTCATTCAACATTTTCAATTGCAAAATTGGTTTGACAGTTCTGTGTCGATGCGTTTATCTATATTCTTCTACCATTGTTTATACATTTGTGCTTAGATTGATATGTTATGGGTTTTTTTAAAGAGATTTGTGGTGTTAATCTGGCAATACTGTATTATTAATCATTAAACAATGTTCACACAGGGTATGCGTTTTCTATCAATCACAATGGTGTAATTCAAGAGAGGAGAACAACATATTTTCCCACAATACTTTTGAAATGAAGAGCTTTGCAAAAAAAAAGAGATCTTCTAAAAGTGCTCTCAGAGAACAAATTTGCCAAGAGATGAATGAGAAAGAGCAATATTAAATTGTAAAAAATAATTTGTACCATATAGAACTAAAAAATTTTGAGGTTTAAAAAAATTGTATTGAATAGAAATTCCACTTTGAGGAGCATATTTTCTTTCATATCATACTTTTAAAATTAAGAATTTCAAAAAAGGCAACTTTTAAAAGTTCTCTGAGGAACAAATGTTCCAAATGGAAATGAGAAAGAGAGATATTTTAATTGTAATATAATGTTTGCCAATATTGGACAGCAAAACAAAAAAAAAAAAAAAAAAAAAAAATATATATATTATATATTTTGATGATTTTAGCGACATTATTGACCGAAATTGTTTCAAATTTGGTATTTGAAGTTCGTAACGTATGCTACAGCCTCTGACAGAAAATTGTCTGTGCAGTCCCACGTCTTCATATAGCCCCCAGATAACGGTACCTCCCGATATTCGGTTTTCTGATGATTTTAGCGAACTTATTCACCGGAATTATTTCAAATCTAGTATTTGAAGTTCGTAATGGGTACTACAGCCTATGACAGAAAATTGTCTGTGCAGGTCCACGTCTTCGTATAGCCACCATATGACGCTACCCCCCGATATTCGGTATTTTGATGATTTTAGCTACATTATTCACCGATTTTTTTTATTCAAGTTTCGCATTTGAATATTGTAATGGTTTTGTCTATGCAGGTCCTAAAAGAAATTTTCTAACTTCTCAAAGTAAAATGGATTTTAAGTCAGAACGCATTTGGAAAACCTTATCGGAAATTATTATTGGAGATGACATGAAAATTATAGACAACAATCGAAACGATTAGGCGCCAAATTTAGGATGGATGACAGAGGCATATAAAAGAATTGTGAACATGTCTATGCCATTAGGAAGCAATATGCTTTGGAAGAAAAAAAAGAAAAGATTGGGCGCCATAATCTCAAAAAAAAAAAAAAGAAACCTCAAGAGTTTTAAACGAAATTTCGGTGAAAAAAGTACCAAACCTGCCAAACTGTCATTTCGATGATATGAAAGTAGTGAGTGGGGCGCTAGAACAACCGAGCTCTGCGGGATCATTATCTGGAATCAAAAGCGATTAGGGGTTGTGAGAATTTTGCATGATTGATCGCCATATCGATATATGGTACCCCAAATAAAAAAACGGAAGTTAACCATCAACTCCGTAAAGATGGGATCATTTTGCGCGAAATTTTAATTTTTCTAGAATTAAGAATAACATAAAATGAGGATTGAGGATTTCAAGAATATACTGTCAAGAAAATTGAAGAACAGATAATCTAGGTTGCAAGTGGGAGTATTTTAAGTTATCTGGCGTCTATAGATCAATAATAACATAGAATATGGATTGGGTGCCATACAATTCAAGTTCAGCACTTTGCAAACGTGTCTTTGAGTTCTAATGTTGTTCCAGAATTTGTTTATTAAACTCTCCAATCTCAAAAGAACTTTACATTTTTTCATTTCTCTTTCTTTCGGATTACCAGCCTCAATTTCGTGTTAATATTGTGAATGAATGCCTATTGGAAATGATAAATAGCAAATGCTTTGTGACATTCTGAGTGGATCTCAATAAGAAAAAAAAACAGTGCTCTCAATACAGTCCTCTCTTCCTCTCTCTCAAATATCCCAATTTTATTTGTCTAAATGCCAAAGTGAGTGCCTTGTGTGAACATGGTTGTAGAATTCCCGTGAAATGGCTCTTCTTACGACCATCAAACCCATTATTGTGAATAATTAATTTTTATTTGACTGAATTGCTATCCCTATAACGGTAAACATTTCATTTTTATATTCTATTGTGAATTATTGTTTTGCTCTTGCAATTGCCAATACATAAATTATCAACAAAAGGAGAGCCAATTTATAAGAGAAAAGATGTACGATATCAACCTTTCTCTTTTTCTCACTTTTATCTCTCTTTCGGATTGGCAATCTCAATTTCTCATTAATATTGTGAATGACTGTCTAAATTGCAACTGCATTATGGCAGCGCGAATGGGTAAGGGAAATGGAAAAATTCGTAAATACTGCTCTCAAAATAGTCATATTTTTCGTTCTCTCTGTTTCTCTCTCAAACATTCCAATTTTATGTCTCCAAATTTCAAAACATATACCCTGTGTAAACATGGTTGTAGAATTTTGCATGAGATGGCGCTTCTAATGACCGTAAAGCGTATTATTGTGAATGATGAACTATTATTTGTGATTGATTGCATTTGGCAGTCTGAATACAGACTGCCCTGGGTTAGTAGAGATTCAAATAGCCTTCCTTTCCCATATCATGTTTTTAATACCTCTGGCTCTACGATGTTGCCATTAGCTTTGCCGCCTGTATAACATTATGCTGATGATGATAGACTCCGGCCATATCTGAGGCTGTTGCACCATGCATACCCGCCGAGGAGGCCGGTGAACCACTCAGCGCTCCAAATGATGAACCGAAATAACAATTATTGACATAATCATAATTTGTGGAATTATTTTCCGATTTGACGCTGTAACCACCCAGACTACCACCACTGCTGGGCGATGTTGCCACTTGGTGAGATAACGATGGTGAATGGTGGTGGTGATGATGATGGGCCGCCGAGGCAGCATGATGGGCCGCAGCAGCTGCGGCATGATGATGATGGTGGTGATGCAAATGATGCCCGTGATACTGGGAGGTGGGTGTGGTCGATGAACTTAAGCCATTGCTGAGAGAGTTACTACCGCTTAGTAGGTGTTCATATTTTTGGCTACCAAATGCCGAGGCCGAGAGCTGGGAATGATTGAGATTTGCCTGGGCTGCCAAGGCTGAGGGCGAGTACAGGCTATTGTTGTGGGCCGATGCTGAAGATGATGAGGAATTGAGATTGCTGGATGATGTGTTGGTAGTGGCGCTGGAGGAATTTGCGTTGCTGCCACCACCACCACCGCTTGAGGATGATGATTGGTGTCCCGAAATGCCGCCGGAATTATTTGTCAGTCTGTTTTGTTGTGATGCGCTGGCCGAGGGGAAATGCATGTGATGGCTTAGGGTGCTGTGCAGAGCACTGCTACCCAAACTCAAATTGTGTAGAGCAGAACCAGAGCTGGCCCCCTTGACGGCCAAGTCGTTTTGCAACTTCGAGGCCAATGAACCGGGTAAACTGTGACGTTCCAAGCCCATGGAAGAAGGTTTGAGATCTAAGGGGGGGACATACAGATTAGTGAGAGTTCTTTGGGTCAATCAAAGAGCCGAACCTACCATCTTCTTTAATCTCCTTGCCGTTTTCATTGGAACTCCCAGTTTTCTTTGGTTTCCTTTTGCGTGTCTGTATGCCATCCTTGCGCATGGCCAGGGGACGATTCACCCCATGCAACTTGAAGTAGAGGCCACAGGCATTGCACACGGGTTCGCCTTCGTTGTTGCGTCTCCACAGGGTTGTGGTGCGGGTGCCGCAGTTGGTACAGCACAGACCCAGACGACGGGTGGCAGTCTGTAACAAAAAGGCAAAAAATTAGAATATGGACTTATGATGGAAGAAGGGTTTGGAAAACAGTTTCAAGTTCTCTTCTCTTCAAACTTAGAGAGAAAATTGAATTGAATTTATTTTCCCTTCCCAAAAAATAGGAAAATATTTGAAAGAACACTCACTGCACTCACCAATCGCTTGCTTGGCTTGATCAACGGCCTATTCATGCCGTTCATTTTGTGATACAATCCGCAAGCGTTACACAGATAATGTCCAGTGCCATCACGTCGCCACAGCGGCGTACTAATCGCTCCGCAATTGACACACTCCCGACCCTCACCAAACTGAAAATCAATGGCACTGTCATAGGGTGAGGATCGCTGAAATCCGGTTGGATCATAAGCCGCCCGCCATGAACCCATCATCACGGCGTTTTGTGTGTAAAATTGTGGCGGCAGTTGGGCATGGGCTGTACCAAAACTATCCGAAGTCCAGGCATTTTGTGCAGCAGCTGTACCAAAATGCGCAGCCACATGTTGATATTGGCTGTTGGTCAGGGCCCGGTTTGAGGGTACATAGACGGGAGCGCTTACGGTGGCTGCAGCCGCAGCAGCCTGTTGATGATATGAACTGACACCACTGGCGGTCGTTGAACCACTCAAATCGGGATACCCTGCACTGGAGTGATACATCTTGGCTGTGTGCAATGGAAAGTCCTGTTGTTGATCCAGCGAAGAACTCAGGCCGTATTTTTGCCCCAAACTTTGGTGATAATTTCCCGCCGACGAGTTGTTCGTGCGCAGTTCCTGTTGCAGCAGCAATTGTTCCCTGGTGGATAGTTGATCGGAATTTGACTGAAAAAAAGAGGAGAGAGGAGGTTGTTGTAAATAAAAACCAAACTAAATTAAATTACTAAGAGAAGAGATTAGGTTCGGATATAGGGTACTATTGTGTTGTCAGGAATATATCTCTTTTTTATTAATAATACACTACACAAGCAAAATCGAAATCGAAAAAAATAAAAATATTGGGCGCCAACTTATGAACGACACGAGAATCAGAGTTTAGCTTTAAGTCAAAATGAATACTTCGGAAGTCTTCTGTAAAAAGTTTCAAAAACATACATTGCTTGGAAGCAAGTGGTCTGTTCCAGAACTGCAAGAATTTTCCGATTTTCCCTTTATGCTATTGAAAAAATATAAATATTTGTAGACATTTTTTGCTTATTGGGCGCCACTTAAGCGGCTGAAGTTGTGCAAATCTAAGTAAAAATAAAATTACTCGGCTTTTTCAACCCCCTGAAAGCAGTGAAAATAAATATCGATTCAATAACCATAAATGTTGGGCGCCAAACAAGCAAGGAGTATATATTGGGGGCCACACGGACGTACCAATCAGTCAAACTTTGAATTTTATCCAGTGCAGCGGGGGATTCGTAGGAGAAACTGTTGGGCGCCATATTGGAGAAGTTATATAAATCATAGCGAGGATAAGCTCATTGTTCAAAATAATAAATGTCTGAATTGATTGCGCGCTAAGTGGCACGAATGCCAGACATGCTTCTAATTACACATTTCACAGGGTGAGCGGAAAAAAAAATTTCAAAATCTTTTAACAGCTCAAATTTCTTATCCTAGTTCGAAAGCAACAGATATTTGTAGAAATTTGTTTTTTTAACTGTTGGGCGCCATTTAAGCTATTGAAACGGCAGCAGGTCAAGTGTGTTTAGATTCGGAAACAGTAACTGTCGGCCCTCATAGAAGTTAGGAGGTCATATTAGACTCTAGATCCTACCAATCAGTTGAAGTTGGAATATGTTCAAGTGTGGTATGAAGTAGTTGGCGAGACTTTTGGGTGCCATACAAAATATATTATTTTAAGACGCTTAGGTACCGTGTCGATTTCTGAGTTTCTGGGAAATGAATCGAATTTTAAATATGGAGTCGAAAATTGGAGAGCATTCATAATAAGTTAGTGATATGAAGCTCAACATACGAGTTTCAGTTTTATTAAAAGATTTTTATAGAAAAACCGTTGGGCGCCAAATGCAAATCGTATAAAAATCGAAGAAAATGGGGTCTTATTGTTTTTTTGGTTGACAAATAGCCTGTTTTGTATTTCGAAAACAGTTTTACAGCACAAAATCTTCGGTGCCTTATAAAGAAGCAGTCGATATCGAAATTTGAATCAATGAATTGAACTCACTGAATGAGTTACTGGTTCAAATAAGAAATTGTGGAATCGGTTGGGCGCCACATTAAACCGGGTAAACATATCAAAGAAGATGTGAACTTTTGAAACCATCTCAACATCTTTGGGCCTCGGCTCAGATCTAAAAAGAAAGTGTATCAACGAATTGAACTTTAAATGAACTGCTGGTTCAGTGAACAATTTGGACGTGGAATAAGTTGGACGTCGCTTTGAAGAGGGATAAAACTTGGAGAAAATACTAAATTTGAAACCCATTTAAACTTCTAAGGATCTTGGAGTAGAAAAAGAAGTCAAAATCAAAAGGTGTATCTGGAAATTGAACCAAAAATGAGCTGCTAGTTCAGCAAACAATTCGGATGTGGAATCGCTTGGGCGCCACATTAAATAAATCAAAGAAAATGTAAACTTCTAAGCCGATATTAAAATCTTTGGGCCTCGGATGACATCTAGGAAGAGTCTCAAATAAAAAGTGTACCAATGAATTGAAACTTAAATAAGCTGCTGGAACAGTTCGCTTGGGCGCCATTTTGAAAAGGATATACAAATTAGGGAAAATGCTAAATTTGAAACCCATATCTACTTCTAAATACCTCGAAGGAGACTTGGACGGCAGATATAGAAGGAGTTTCAAATAAAAAGTCTAACCTATGAATTGTACCCTACATGAGCCGCTGAGACTTGGACGGCAGATCTAGACGGAGTCTATAATCAAAAACTTGTACCAATGAATTGAACCCTAAATGAACTGCTGGTTCAGTGAACAGTTCGCTTGGGCGCCACTTTGAAGAGGTCATAAAAACCAGAGAAAATGCGAAATCTATAACCTAAATCAAGTTTTAAATTCCTCGAAGGAGATTTGGACGACAGATCAAGGAGTCTAAATCAAAAATCTAATGAATTGAACTATATGAGCCGCTGAAATCCATGAGGCGCCACGTTGATGAAAGTTTAGAAATTTCTTCTTTTGGTATACTAGACCCAATGGGTTTTGGGTTTAGAACAGCTCTCTAATATTTGCAACCAATAATTTATATTTTTATAGCGCAAAAAAAAACACTGAATATAGATATGGCGCCCAACGTAAAATAGCATTATTTTTTTATCTATATTCGGTATTGGGAGTCTAATTTAAATTAAAAAAAGTAATGGTATTATGTGGCGCCCAATTAAATTCAGTTTATTCTCGGTGTTATTCTGTGGTGAGGGACTTGTGTCTTTTTTAAGGATATGGAGACTAGAATAATCTTAAACGAGCAGAAGAATTTAAAAATAAGATTATCATTTTACAATAGTGAAAAAAATGGTTTACAGCAAAATTTTTCCGATGGCTCTTTTCCAAACTTTTACCCTTCTAAATTTTTTTTCCAAGATCACAAAAAATATGGCAACCCCAAACCCAAAAAAAGGTTAACTCCCTCTTCTCGCCGGACAATAAAACATAAACTTTCCATTTTTAAAGACCATTAATTTCCCTGGCATAGGCCCAACCCACTTTGTCAAAGGCCAACCACCATTATTGCCGCTGGAAAAAAAATTATGGCCCGGAATACGCATGCTTTCTTTTCATTTTTTATTCCATTTTTTTCTGTGCTGTGTTTGGGGAGGGGAGAAGAAAAAATAATAATTTGAAAGCTGTCCATAAATTCTTGAACATAAAAACAAATTTTAATGGCGTTATTGCACGTTACATTTGATGATATTGGTTGCCTTATTTCTCTTTATTTTTCTTTTCTCCCTTCTCAGGGGTTTGTTTTGGCGTTTTTTCTTTTTTAGCTGTTCTTCATCTTGTAAATGTTGTTGGGGCACATTTTTTTTCTTGCTTCCATAGGTTTTATTTATTTTTTTTCTCTGTGGCATGCAACGGCATGTAAGTTTGTGGTATGTGGTGGGCATATAAAGTGAGTGTGTGCCTCTCTCCTCAAAAACACCGCTCTCTTTATGGTTTTACTGAATGCGTATAGCTACTAACGTCATATGGATTCACGTTTGTTTCTTAGTTTTCTTATTTTGGTTTTGCAAAAAAATAATCTCTTTGAAATGCTGCACACGTCTTACAGAAGTCTTTGTCGACAAGTTGTAATGCCATAAACTCAATTGGAATTTTATATATTTTGCAGCTTTTGTGTATTTGCATGGTTGTGGCATGTCGTGGTCGGTTTAGGGTTTCAATAATTATTTATAAGTGTCATAATGCGTAAAATATGGCCTTAGGAATCCCCATTTGTAAAATATTTAATGTAACCTAAAGGTGGTTGTAAATTTAATTTATTAATGGCCAGATGACTCGAAGCAAAGAAATTGTAGATATTTGGAGGAAGCGGGTTACAGAACACTTCAGGTTTGCATACAAAGTAAAAAAAGTTCAAAAAAAAAAAAAAGCCACAAACTTGCTAAATATTAAGTTTTATTATGTAATAAACATCATTTACAGCTGACTTATTAAAGGAGGTTGGTTATCTTTTTTGAAGGCTCTTATGTTGGGCGCCACTTTTAGTGGGATCACAATACTATTTCTAGTTGCTAATATTAAAAGGAAAATTTACAAACCAAATGCTTTACATATTTTTTATAGATTGTAATATTCATTGCCAAGAACTAACGTTGGGCGCCATTTTCAAATAAGATAGCAAAACTTAAATTCGCAGTTATTAAGGAATATATATTAATATTATATAAATTAACCTAGTAAATTATATTACAAACATGTTTTCCGCACTCATGAATAGAAAATTACTCTCAACTTCCCACGTTGGGCGCCACTACACGTAGGGTTATTGCAAAATGGATATTTATCATAAATGGATCGTTTATAACAATGACATGCGATAGTATGCTATTCGCCAGACCTTAAAGACATTGATTTCAGCCGCTTTTTTAAGGGATGTTGAATACTTTGAAGGCTCTAATGTTGGGCGCCATTTCCAAAGGGATCACAAAAGTGATTTCAGTTAAAGTTGTAGCATTCGCCAGCCATAAAATAAAAATTTACAAACCAAATGATTTACACATTTTTTATGGATTGTAATATTCATTGCCAAGAACTGACGTTGGGCGCCATTTTCACGACAGATAGCAAAACTTAAAATCGCAGCAAAAAAATAATTTATATTAATTAACCTAGTAAATTATAATACATTTTTAAACATATTTTTCACACTCTTGAAGAGAAAATAACTCCCAACTTCTCACGTTGGGCGCCATTAACCTTAGTGTTGTTGTAATATGGATATTTATCATAAATCGATTGTTTAAATCAATGACATGCTCTTTGTCAGACCTTAAAGACATTGATTTCAGCTGCTTTATTAAAGAATGCTGAATTCTTCGAAAGCTCTCATGTTGGGCGCCATTTTCGCCAAAATTGATTCTAGTTGAAGTTATGGCATTCGAAGTCATAAAATTAAAATTTACAAAAAAATTTACAAAATCTGCAAACCAAATGGTTTACACATTTTTTATGCATTGTAACATTTAATGCCAAGCATTTACGTTGGGCGCCATTTTTGGGAAAAATGAAAAACAAATATTTGAAGCCATAACAAAATTTATATTAACTTAGCGAAGTAGATTACATTTTTGAATAAAGGGATGAAAGGCACACTCAGGATCCTACGTTGAGCGCCATAGTCCTGAAAAGCAAGAG